CTACACCATAACAAACTTTGCCGAAACGTAGACCGCAATCAATGTTGAATTATAGTAGTAAGTTGCTTCTAGGATAAGACTCTATTAAAGCTATTAACATATATGGTCCACAATTGGATTAAATAAGGCCACAAAACAATAGCTTTAAAATGATATGGATTACTTAATTCAAGCAATGTGTTCAGGGAAATTTAAACGGTCACGTAGGGAAATATGTAGGGAAAGGTTAAGTTAGGATATGAACAATTATGTAGGGAAATGTTAACTTAGTATATAAAAGAGTGTAGAAGGTTGCTTAGGGGATCAAAATGAAGAAGGTAATAGTATTTTGGACTAGGTTGACATATGATTTGGTATTTGTACATGCTCAAAATAGGAGACTCGCCTCATAACATCAGAAACACAGGAAAGGTGGACATGTGATGGAAACATGAGATGATCACCACATTGGCCAATTTACTAGCTCGTTTTATCTATGTTGCTCGGACTCTCCATTTTCGAGGAAGTACCCTCATCGACTCAACATGACAAGGATAGAGTCTAGTTCCATGTCGGCTCCTTTTAAAATAAGTAAAGGATCCTTTATAAATTTCTTGTCATTTTGATATTAGATTTAAAATGATTTCTATTTCGTATCTTATATTTCTAGACTTGAAATGAAATCCAAAGTATTACAATTTGCAATTTAATTAGCTTATTTTTATAAATTTCTAAATTAAATTAAGTTTTTAAGAATTATACATGTAGCTATGTCTAATGTTTGGATCGATCTTATCATATCCCCATAGCCTTGATTTTAAGGGGCAAAATCCAATTCATAGATATGTACACATATACTCGAGTTCCAAGTAACATAGAGTTTTAATGTTTTTCATATTTTTATTTCTATGTGCTTGCACTTTAATTACCTAAGGATAATTAGGTCTTTATTAGGTTTTTCTTCCTCGGTTTTACTATTTAAACACTTGTTATAGCTTGGTGGTTCTGGAATAAAATTTATAGATTTTTGAGCTCCAAATTTCCTTTTTATCCAAATTCGGTATTCAATTTTGAATCTATGTTAGTTGATTGGACATTAATTCTCAACATTCTTTTATGAATCAACGAGACTTCATTGTCATTCTCAACATTCTCAAGAACCAAAGTCTTTGTAGTGTTTTTCAATTATTTCTCGTTTTCGCTACGGTCAGTTTGATATCAGAGGTCAGCTATGTCTTAAGTTTTACGAGGCTCGCAAAAGTGTTGTTACATTAGGACACACAACTCCATTGACAAGTGTTCAAGTTGACAAAAGAAATTTATTGGCCACCGTGCGGTGCATCGTTGCAGTAGTCCTGGAGTTGGTGGCGAAGTACTTCAATGGTGATGATAATCTTTTCACCTCTTTCTTTATGAGAGGTAAATGAATATGATTCACATGAAGAGGTAATTTTGAGAGTGAGGTCGACGAGCAGAGTGGGTTGAGGAATTCTAGCATATGAGGAAACTTATTCCCTTTGGTAACTAGTCGAAGTCATGGAGATGGGAAATGTCCATAATTTGCATGCAATTATATATTTAGATTGCAAATAGACCAGCACAAGATTTCCCTTCAAAATCTTCGCATAGTAGAATTGAAGTGGGCCAATGAAAAAAATTGGACAGGAAGAGGTGCAAATTTGCACTCATGAGGATATTGGAGACAGACACGGAAGGGAAGGAAATTGGCCAATTTCCTAAAGTATTTTATTGCTTTTCTTATTTTTAATTTTAACTAGCATGCACTTTAATTATCTAAGGACAATTTGGTGTATTTAAGATTAGGTTTTTTTCCTTCCTACATCTTTTATACTCCCAACATCACTTTGGTTCTTTAGTTGTTTTCGGATAATATTTATAGATTTTGAAGTTCTACAAATACCCATTTGATCCAATCTCAATATTAAACTTTGAATCAACCACATCATTGATCAACGTCCATTCTCGGCATTCTTTTTGAATCAAAGACACGTGATTGTCAATTCCCAGCATTCTCAGGATTGTTTCTTACTTTGGCTACATCAGTAAGTCTTTACATTGGTGGTCTTAATCTAATTATTAAGATATAAAAAGTAGTGCAAGGAAAGGTTTAGTTCGGAAATCAGGATAGTGGAACCTACAGTGTGGAAAATTTCAATGATAGCATCTTGAAGGAAAATGGGTTATAGAAAAAACAGTGACATGCTGTGGAATGTGATGAATAGCTGCATTCAAAATATAGTGAAAGAGGCATTAGAAGAATTTAAAGGTTGTAAGTTGCCTAATAAGGTAACATAGTGGTGTAATGACCAGGATCAAATGATAGTTAAGACTAACTGAGAAATCCTATTGAACTTATCAAAATATGAAAATGCAAAGGCATTTAAAAAGTAAAGTTACCATGCTAAGCTAAGAGGCTGATTCATGAGCCCCATGTTAAAAAATATGGGAAGTTGTTTACTTATCTTGGAATAAAAAGATAGGAAAACGTATTTACAAGATATCTTGGCAAAGACAGAAGGAAAGTAGAGATCCATATAAATTTCACGTAAAGATGAAGGAATTCTTACAACAAATTATTGAATGAATGACATAGTGCCCAAATTGGAGATTTGTCAAACTCAACAGTTTATATAATGTTAACTATACTAGAAGAATGGGTCTTGGAAGTAAGGGGGGCCATAAAAAGGAAGATGATAACACATTTTATGGTTGACAAAATTATTCAACAAGATCTCAAAAAGGAAACATTTAAAAATTGAATGGAAGAAGATTGGTATGGTGCCTAACTGCCTATTTATAAGAATAAAGGAAGATTGTACAAACTACAATGGTGTTAAAGGTCATGAGTTATGTTATGAAATTATGAAGAAGAATGAGCGAGCACATATTAAAGTGTAATTCACATGTCTCAGAGAACAGTCACGGTTAATGGCAGGGGGTTATGGAAGTCATTTACCAACATTAAACGGCGGTGGAAAAGTATAGACAACAGAAACAATGTTTCCATATGGGTTTTTTTTTTTATTATTGATTTTGTAAGAACTAATATGCCCACTGTTGAATACTAGAGGGAAAGGAATTTTTATAGGTCATCAATATTATTGAGGTCATATATGTATGGTGAGGAAATCGATTGTACGAGATATAGTAGCAGTAGTAGCAAGGTTCTGCCTTGAGTTCTTATCTTTTCACTTTAATAATGAAGAGGCTTGCTAGACATATTTAAGATGAGGACCTTTGGTGTATGTAAATTGCTCGTGACAAAGTTTCAGTAGATGAGATTGAATGGCTAAATCGTTATGTTAGAAATTTGGAGGAGTACTTAGGTTTATGTAGCAGTAAGATAGATTACATAGAATGTCCTCTTAGTATTAATAGGAACAAGGATGGTAGTAGAGTCACCATAGAACATCATTTATACAAAATAATAATTGAGTTATATAGGTTTGATTGACAACGAGGGAGGACTTGAAAAGGGATGCAATGAATCGGATTGGAGCATGTTAAATAAAATGCACTAGTGCTACAAGGATTCTATGCGATGACAAGATACCTGTAAAGTTAAAACACAAATTCTACATATATTAGACTTGCTATACTTTATGGTATCGATGACAAGTCGTTAAATGTCAGTAAGATGAATGTAAAATGAGGATGGTAACATAGATTTGTTGCCATCTATGATGAGCGATAAAACTTATGAGCAGCATATATGCAAATAAATGGGGTGACACCAATTGAGGATGCACTAATGAAAGGACATGTCTCGTTTAGACCAAAGAAGCTACTACCCACAAAAGTGGTGAAATCTCAGTAGAACTAGTTAGAACAGGAGAGGTAGCCCAAATATTAACATGTCTATGTAGATGTGAAATATCCGATTGTGTTGAATTTTCCAAGAGACATAGTAAATGAACCAATGGAATGGCGAAAAAGGATTCACGTAGAATACTCCGAATTTATTGGGAATACTTCCTTTGGTGTATTAGAAATATTTGTTACATTGCAACATCAAGATCCAGTAATTGAAATGACTGAGCTGTCAGAACTACCAGGCAACAACTTTAGGCCATTAAAATTCTATTAGCAAGAAAAGGAGAGCGCCATTAAGATTAGCTGTTAGAACTGAATTTCTATTTCACGTTTCCTTGCAACTCACATAATCCCCTGAAGTGGTCCTCCTACCCCACACCCCACCCCCACAAGAGAACGAAAATAAAAATCCATGTTTAATTTTGACTGATTACCAACACTTAATTATTCCACACATAGGATAAAAGTGGAAGTGCAGGCACATTCCACATATCCATTACACATGCAAGTGTGACTCCCTCCCGCCAAAACATACTAAATAAATAAATAGATAAAACGAAAAATCAATGTAAAATTTCACTGATTACTGACACAAAGAAGTGCTGGCACATTCCACACATCCATTACCACAACTCAATAGAACAAACACATGCATCATAGCACAAATGACAAAAATATGCAAATTTTAGTTTTTACACTCCAATATCTTTTTCCAAATCATCGAGGAAAAACTTCTCCATGGTTATTGATTACTAGTTAGTAGAGGTACCTGCTGCTCTGTATCTGTAAGGATAAGTCCTTAATGGATCCAACTGTGTTGCCATACTGAGATCATTATTTGCCAGTTCTCGATCGCAATACTCTGAGCGTTTTTCATAAGCTGATGCCTTGTTTTCTGCCTTCTCAATTAGCTTTGTCATCTCGTCATAAGCAGCTTTCTTATCATTTTTGAGATGATAAACACGTGCAAGCCCCTGATGAGCTCGTGTATGCTTTATTTTCAGGGCACTCATATAGCAGTCTGCTGCAAAATCGAGCTTTCCACAATCCACAAAAATACTTCCTAGATTATTTAGAGCCTGCAAAAATGTAACCATATACAGCATAAATAAACACATCCAGTTACATACTATAAGAAACAGTTTTTGTGCATCAATACCCACTTGTCCTTTACGAAGACCGTCTGAAGGACATCTAAGTGCCTCCTCCAGGAGTTCGATAACATAAGATGCAGATTCAGGATCCAGATATGTATCCGCCAGTGCATATGCTTTAAGGAAAAAAGCTTCAAAAGACCTTTGAAGTGAAATTGATTCCTCAGCTTTGGCAATTGCTTCTTCACGGTAGTCAGAATCATATAAAATCCATCCTTCATAAACAAGCCTTTCGCAATAGGAGCTAGAATGATTTCGGGCAAAACGCAAGCTACGCATGGCAGCTTTTTGACAATTCAGCCTACATTGCAAATGTAAGTTAGGACACATTTAGGAGGTTTCCACCTCTTTCAATGCTTTAATCCACTGTTCATTCCCACTCGGATAGAGGGGACACGACAAACAAGGAAGGGGTTTAATGCTTCAACTAGAGTAGCTATTCTTCTTGGTACTGTCAACAATCACAATGAAGGACGAAAATACTTTCATTTGCAGAGGATACACTTTTAAAGTTTTTTGTTAACACAAATAATATCACATCATCTGATAAATCCAGCAGTACAAAGTCATGCCTAAAAGATCGTACTATTAACAGTTGTAATACATCAGAATCAATCAGAAACATGATTGCAGAATAGTCTTACATTTCTTCCCATGACCAATGCAAAATAACTAAACAGCTCGAAGCTGTAGACAAGACAAATATGATCTACTAAATAGAGGAAACACAAAATTCAATAATTGAGTTCTTATATTGTTCCTGATTCAAATCACATAGAGTTCGACAATGAATAGAAGAAGTTGTACTTAAAGTCATTTGCCTATGGAGACCCAGAACAACAAACTTAACATTATTTTCAATAAATTAGAGACCAGCTATATGAATCCTTCTATGAGATAACCCCCAGCAAAACTGAACATTTTTCATGGCAGTAAACAAACATATTTGTATATGCCAGATCTATAAAAGTATCAATAATAATGTGCCATGTGTAAAGCATCCTCAACTAACCACTTTATCAGTACCATAGAGCCATAGTTATGTAGGATAACCTTACTTAGTTAACTCGAGGTCCAAAAAAACATGGCAGGACAAGATATAATTTACGGGTAGAAGATGCAAAAATTGCAGCTAATCACACAGCTTTACCGTAATAGAAGTAGAGATTGTCGGAACCACAAAATGCTCTTTTCAGGATTATTTATAAGCATCTGATGTACAACAGCCAGGGAGCCGACATCATCAACAGAAGACCATCGGTCATAGAGTTGCATCCAGCAATCAGCTGGACTCCACTGGTTAACATGTTGGCCAAGAAGTTCAACCAAGTGGCTACCTATCACTTTCCCATTAAACATCATGTAATTGGGCTCCAATGTTAATAAGGCTTGAATGTCTCTTATAGCAGCATGATAATCCTCAAGAGAAATATGGAACCAAGCTCGAAGTTCAAGACCGTCTGAGGACACCTTAAAGCGAAGTATTCTGTTCAACTCTTTGATAGCTGCCTCAGTCTGGTTCTTCTCCTCTACCATAGAAACAGCTCTATATTTGTACGGAAAGGAAAGAGTGGGATCCAATCTAGTAGCTTCATTTAGATCCAATATCTTCTCCATACCCGAGTTATACAATGACCGTTCTTGATACATCCACCCCATTGGAATGTTTTGCTTTGGTATAATTGAATTAATAATATCATATGCCAAACACCTCTGCCCTTGCCTGTACTTTGTGCGTGCTACTCCAGCTAATGAATAAACATGACCTATCTCAGCCGCTGCTTCATAGCAATGGTGAGCTTCATTATACTCCTTTCTTTCAAGAAACACACAACCCAATTGATGAAATGCTAGTGCCTTCTGCCACCTTTCAGTTGAACATTCTATTAATCTCTCAAACAAGTTTACAGTCACGTTAGACGTCATATCTTCTTCCATAGCAACCTGACTAAGGAAATAGAACAATAGGAAAGAAGAATGACCAACCATAGCTAATCTTGCTCGAGCCTCAGAACTACAGAATATATTCATAACTTTTGAATTATGTAAACACCCTGGAAGCTCTCTAAGCATCACTTGCAAGCAAGAGGCTGTGAGAAGAGTCGCTTTCTCCTCCAGAGCATAATCAATAAGAATCAATGCTTCATCAATGTTCGAAACCAATGAAGCTAAATAGTTATCACAAGCAGATTTCATTTCCTCACAACAAAACCGATTAGCAAAAGACAGAATCTCCATGACAACATTAGGCAAACAACAATCTAATTTATTAGATTCGCTAAACAATCTCACTGCTCTCATTCCCTCCACAGATATACCAATTCCCGAAAAATCTATAGAATTCTTCATAGACTCCACAAAATTTCCATATAACATTGCTTTTAATGGTCTGGAAAGAGAGGCAACTCTACCTCGATTGCAGTAAACTTCCTCCTTGCCAATGCAAAAGCAAACAATTTCATCCGAATCTGAACTGGAAAATTGATCATTTCCATCCAAGATATAGTTAATATCTGAATTTTCATTATTAGAATCAATCGCCCTGGAACATTGACAGTGATCAAAAACAGAAGCTGGATCATAACCATGTATCAAAGCCGACTTGGGGCATTCAAGATTTCTTCCAATACAATCTAAAGGCGAAGTTCCCACGAGTTCATCTTCTCTTCTCTCGTACCTCAACCAAGCCGATAAAACAACCTTTGAGTGCACGTCTACGGCGTGTTTGCGAGCAGATTGAAGGCATCTCCGGGTAATTTTCGGATCGCCATGCCTACACGACATAGAATACTGCTCTAAATGCACAAGGGACTTGTCCGAATCCGGACCACTGTTCTCCCTCCTGTACAGTTCGGCCAAGGACTGAACAAAGTCTTCGGATTTGAGATAAGGGTCAATCCGAGGTTCGAGAGAATCAGTTCTTGGGAGCCCATATGGGAGAAGAGTCTTAGGCGTGGACACCGAGACGGTATCAACCGATTCACGCAGGATAGAATTTAATGTGGGCAGTTGTTCTAGGTGGTGGGGCTTGTTAGTAGTGGCGGTAGCGATGGCCACGGCGGCGGAGGTAGGGGTGGAGGAAGGCGTAAAGGCGTAGACTTGAGTGGTTTTGCAACGGTCTTTGAGCTTAAGATAACGCATAGCAGCATTAGATACATCGAATGAATACTGTCGGAGGAGATTTGCCAATCTTGATTTGGAAAGATTGGAACTTTTCAATTGATTGACTTCATTATCAATTGAAGCAGACATGAATCCAATTTCAAATCCAAATCCAGAAGGGGTTGTGGAGAAATAGTTTCTCGATTCAACACCTGCCTGCATACACCACCATTTGGGGGGTGGGGTGAGGCCTGAGAAAGGGACACTGCACACTATAAATGATTGAACTATTTTTCGATGATTTCGTCTTTTTCATCAAATTAGACTCTTCTTTTTTTTCTTTTTAGCTTTTTCTATTTTTCGTGGAGGGTGGATTCATCTTGGCGTTGGATGTTAATAGAATCACACTCTCAGCATGATTGCATTTTGGGTTTATTTAATAATGCTAATAATAGAAAAGAAAATTAAATTTTTTATTATTATTCATTTTTTGATCTATCGTTGATGCAGACAAAATATTATTTTAAGAGGTGGGGTGGGGTGGGAGAGTTGTGGCCTCAATTTGAGCATTATCCAATTGGTGACTTAACCTATGCAATTAATCTTTCTTTCCTTTATAATATTTTCACATTATCAAGGCAAGTGACAATGAATGAGAGATGAAAAAATTCATAAATGATTAGTATCAGTACAGGTGATAGTAAATCCCAAAATTTTATTGAGCTCAATTATTTTCTCTCCTTTCACTTAGAATCCAAACAAGTAATAACTAATGAACTATGAAAAATTCACAAGTATTAATATCGGTGTATTCCTTATTGTGTAATGGACGGGAATTAATTTTCTCTTCTTTGTTTTTTCCCAATTATAATTCAGGCAAGTGATAATCAATGAGTTATGAAAAATTCACAAGTTATTAGTAATCGATATAGGTGGCAGTGGATCCCACAACTTTATTATTCAATGGATAGTAATTAATTTTCTCCTTTATTTTTTCCCACTTATAAATGCAAATGATAACCAATGAGCTATGAAAAATCCAATAGATAGGTGATAGGAAACACTTTTAACTTAATGTGGGCAATTAATTTTCTCTTCTATATTTTTTTACCCCCACTTATAATTCAGGCAAATGATAATCAATGAGATGATAAATTCACTTGTGACCTAGTATCAGTATAGGTGGTAGTGGACCGCACAAGTTTATTGTGCTTATAATGTCAATTAATCTTCTTTTCTTTATAATTTTTCGCTTATGATTCAGGCAAGTGATAACCTATGAAATATAAATAATCTAAGGTTGATTAGCATTGGTGTTGATTCCACAACTTTGAAATAATGGAAATTAATCTTCTTTTCTTTAATTTTTTTTTACTTATAATCGAGACAAGTAACAATCAATAAAATATGAATAATTCACCAGTGATAAACACCAATGAAATGCATCTGCTTCATTGATGTCTAATAACTTGCGATGATATAACATTACTCTTACTTTCGATGAAGTGGTAGGTATATTGACATTTAAATTGGTGCTAATCATGATATACGTAACGTTACTCAATGAGACATATTTCAATCTTCTCGAAGAGGAATAAAGAAATCTATATGTTAAAACTTATCCCACAATAACAATATGCTCTTTTTGTTGTCGAAGTCACTGCAAAGGAAAGCTTTTTTAAGTTAGTACCAAAGGTTCCCGTTTTGTCCTCCTACAAATTGAATCAAAATTGCCCAATTTTAGTGCAATCTGACACCAGATGTTTAGGGATAACAATAAGTTATTTAGTAAACTCATGGGTTTGAATGTTACCTTGCTCATTTTGAAGTTAAATTAAAACCTAATCAAAATCACGAAATTTACAAATCATGTAGCTTCAGACTTAGTTTCTTGATGAAAATCTCCAAAATCCCTTCACAGACGGTCGATTATTCAAGTTTATCGTTATTGTGATTTCTCTTTGTTTGAAATATGTAGATTTATTGTTACGGCAATTTCTCGCCAATTGAAATATATAGGAGTTTGTAGTAGCTCTGACTATAAGTGCCATTTTCTTAGCTGGCTTTGACACCAACAACTGCTACTCCCTTCACCATTTTCCCTCATTCTTACCTTTTACGGGACTGATGGCTCAATTGTTCTATAGACAAACCCCATATCTCATGGTTGTTGCGCTTTGTGAACATCACAGGGTGAAGAACGCTACTTATTTTCAATGCTTGTTACAACTGCAGTTCCCTTCATTAAGAGTTGAGTACATGATACGAGAAACTATTGCAATTATTGAAATGTTTAAAGCCCGACACTTCACATTGGATAAACAAGGGTACTTTTCAATTACCATGATCACATCCAAAATCGAGAGGTGGCACTGTAAAAGATTTTTTTTGAGGGAAATAAAGTTATTCATTCATCAGCTCATTTTGAAGTTAAATTAAAACATAAACAAAATCACGAAATTTACAAATCATGTAGCTTCAAACTCTAGTTTCTTGATGAAAATCCCCAAAATCCCTTCACAGACGGTCGATTATTCAAGTTTATTGTTATTGTGATTTCTCTTTGTTTGAAATATGTAGATTTATTGTTACGGCAATTTCTCGCCAATTGAAATATATAGGAGTTTGTAGTAGCTCTGATTATAAGTGCCATTTTCTTAGCTGGCTTTGACACCAACAACTGCTACTCCCTTCGCCATTTTCCCTCATTCTTACCTTTTACGGGACTGATGGCTCAATTGTTCTATAGACAAACCCCATATCTCATGGTTGTTGCGCTTTGTGAACATCACAGGGTGAAGAATGCTACTTATTTTCAATGCTTTTTACAACTGCAGTTCCCTTCATTAAGAGTTGAGTACATGATACGAGAAACAATTGCAATTATTGAAATGCTTAAAGCCCGACACTTCACATTGGATAAACAAGGATACTTTTCAATTACCATGATCACATCCAAAATCGAGAGGTGGCACTGTAAAAGATTTTTTTTTAGGGAAATAAAGTTATTCATTCATCAAATCGGCAAGGAGTAAATTTGAAATAAAAGAAGGTAGAAAATAAGACCAATCAACAATACCATGTAATGAACTAGCGGCATTAGCTAGTATGTGAGCTACTTGGTTAGACGATCTCCTAAACCAGCTGAACTTGAGATTCAGTAATTCTCTAGCAAGAAGGCGGCACTCTTCAATTAGGATACCAAGGTAAGAGTTGTCAACTCCATCATTCTTTAGAGCACTATAAACCAAGAGAGCATCAATTTCAATGGTTTGGACCCCGAAGAATTTAGATTTAATCCAAGAAAGGGCCTCACGAACCCCCAAGTTTCGGTGATAAGTGGATCAACAATACCTTGAACAAGAACAACTCTGGCAGCAACGAATGACCCCAAATCATCTTGAATCACAAGGCCAAGCCCATTACTTCCTTTTATTTTCAAAAATGGCTGTATTAATGTTTAATTTGAAGGAACCCGTAGTAGTTGGTTTCCACTTATCAATCTCCGGTCTATTAGAGCTAACTGTGGGCTGTGGTAGTGGCCGATTAGCATCACGCCACAACTGGAGGAATTTTTTTGCAAAAGTCACCACTTTAAGCACCGTAAACCACTTTGAGCTCAAATTTCAGTGGGATCCATACTTTGAAATTAACGAGACCAACATATCTATGTTATACTCTACGAGATGATTAATATGTGCTGGAATATGTACACAATAATAGAGATGTGAAAAGTAAAAATCAACATGAGGATTTAACGTGGTTCACCAATGTGCCAACATCCCCAGGAAGCAAAACAAAGATGATTTTATTACCAATTGGATAATAGTGTTACAGCATCTATATACCTTAGTCTTAGCTCATACAAAATTTTAGGGTCCGTACAAGATTATAGAAAAATTCCTAAAATACCCCTGTATTATATTGTGGGGCAGCATATCCCTAACCTATTAAGTGTCCCTGGTAAACAGATAGTAAATTAAAATTCGAAAGGCCGATGATGTCGCTTCGCTCTCCTCACTCCACTCTTCACTTCGCTTCGCTCCAGCATCGCTCTATTTCTTCTGATAAACGTGTGTTCCACTCTATATAAGGCATACACACAACAATCTCAACCTTGGAGAATATCCACCTCTTAGGAGAAACAATGGAAAAACATAGCCAAGGAAAAACACAACCTTTGACCAATAGATTGAGACACTTCCTCTCTAACACCTAGAGATTTTAATCAAGTTCAAACAATGCTTGAACATGTCCATTGTGATTCTCTTTGTCAACATATCTGCTGCATTCTCTGAGGTATGCAACTTCTCTAGCAACAATTCTTCTGAAGTAACCAACTCCATTATCTTGTGAAATCTCACATCAATGTGCTTGATTCTTACATGATAAATCTGGTTTTTTTCTAAGAAGATGGCGCTCTAACTTTCATAATACAGCTTCATTCCATCTTACTTGATCTCAAACTCCCTGACAAGCCTTCTCAACCACAATAATTCCTTGGCTACCTCAGTTGGCGCCATGTGCTCTACTTCAGTTGTGAATAATGCTATAAGTGATTGTACCATTGATCTCCAACGTATAGGTCCCCCTGTGAGTATGAAAACATAACTTGTACTTCCTATCATCCAAGTCGTTTGCATAATCTACATTTACGTATCCCTGAACTTAAATATCATCATATTGTCCCTCAAACATGATCACATACTCCATTGTACCTCTCAAATACCTTAGAATCCATTTTATAGCTCTCCAATGCTCTTTAACGGGGTTAGTCATGTACTTGGTCACCACACTGACTACAAGTGCTAAATCTGGTCTGGCACACACCATTGCATATATCAAACACCCCAGTGCAATGACATAGGGCACCTTTAACATCTCTGCAATTTCTTTTTCGCTTTTTGGGAATTGATTAGTAGATAATCTGAAATGATTTGCCAATGATGTACTTAATGGTTTTGCATCTGACATGCTAAACCTCTCCAACACTTTCTTCAAATATTTCTTCAGAGATACCCATAATTTTCTAGCATTCATATCTTTGTTGATCTCTATGACAAGAATCTTCTTAGCCAATTTCAAGTCTTTCATATCAACCTTATTGCTCAACGAAGATTTCAATCTGTCTACATCATTCATGTTCTTAGCATCAATTAGCATGTCATCTACATACAACATTAATAAAATATATGAATCTGTAGTAAATGCAACAATCATACTTACAACAAATGTAGCCAATTTGAATCATGTAGGAGTCGAACTTCTTGTACCATTGCCATGAAGACCACTTACGCCCATATAAAGATTTCTTCAGTTTATACATGAGATCTTCTGTCCTGGTTCCAATAACCCCTCTGGTTGCTCCATGTAAATCTGCTCATCCAAATCACTATGAAGGAAAGTGATCTTCACATCCAGCTGCTCTAACTCTAAATCAAAACTAACCATCATTGCCAAGACACTCCTAATGGAAGTGTGCATGACGATTGGAGAAAAAATCTCATCATAATTGAATCCCTTCCTCTGTGAATAACCCTTAGCTACTAACCAAGCCTTATATCTTTCTCATTCATTCTCTAACATTGCTTCTTTCTTTCTGTACATCCAGTTATACCCTATCAGTCTATTCCCCTCTAGAAGCTCTACCAAATCTTAGGTATCATTCTTATACAATGACTCAATTTTCCTCTATCATAGCCTCTATTCATTTTTTTTTCTCTTGGCTACCAACGACATCCTGAAAAGCTGTAGGATCACTATTGCTAGCAATGAGTGCATAAAAAATTGACTCCTCAAATCCATACTCTATCGGTAGTCTGATAGTGCGACATGGTCTATCTGTACCAATACAATGATGTTGCTCATCTTCTGAGTCAGAACTCTCTGCTCCCTGAACATTGATCTCCATGTCAACATTGTCTAATTCTACCTGCACCACTTAGCTCTTGCTATTGCCCTTACCTAAACTGAGTTTCTCTTCATCTAGAGAAGCTTTAAGCATGAATATTTCATTAAAGACCGCATCCTTACTGATCACCATCTTCTTTACCTTTAGATCCCAAAACTTGTACCCCTTTACACCTTTTCCATAGCCTAACAAATGCACTTTCTTAATTTCGAATCAAACTTGGATCTCTGATCACTAATACATGCACATAAGCCGGACACCCAAATACTATCAGTCCAAAATAATCAACATCATTGCCTGTCCAAACTTACTCACCAACCTTCTCATCGAATGCTATCCATGGCGATCTATTTATGATATAACATTTCATATTCACCACTTCTGCCCAAAAACTCTTAAGAAACCCCTGCATTTATCCTCAAATATCTTGCCTATTCTATAATTGTTTTGTTCATCCTCTTCGCTACACCATTATGTTGCGGTGTCTTACGAACTGTATACTACCGCGAAATACCATGTTCCTCACATAATTTCAGAAACTGTAAATCTGTGTACTCTGTACCATTGTCTATCCTGAGGCATTTAATTTTCTTGCCAGTCAAGTTCTTTACCTTTGCTTTCCACAATCTGAACTTGACAAATGTTTTAGACTTATGCTTCATGAAATACACCTAGACTTTTCTAGAGAAGTCGTCAATGAAAGTAATAAAGTATTGAGATCTACCTTTTGACAGTTTCCGCACTAGTCCTCAAATGTCATAATGCAATAATCAAGAATGCCCTTTGTCTTGTACTTTTCCATCTTGAACTGTACTTTGGATTGTTTCTCAAGTACACAAAATTTGTAAAATTTGAGCTTACGCAATTTTACTCCCTTAAACAAATTCGTCTTATAAAGTTCAATCATACCACGTTATCCTATATGCCCAGTCGCATATGCCATAAAAAAGTGTCACTGACTTTGATTCTGCTGAATAACTCCATCTACAACTGCACTTCCCAACAATTTGTAAATATTTCCCTGCCAACTTTTGACCTTTCATTACAACCATAGTCTATTTCTTCATTGTCAAGACCCTACACTCTGACTTATAAGAATAGCTACTGGTGTCTAAAGTACCCAAATAAATTATGTTCTTTCTCAACTCTGTTACATGCCTAAGATCATTCAAAATCCTCATCACATCATCAAACACTTTTAATTTTAGGGACTCCATTTCAATGACCTTACATGATGCATCATTACCCATCAGAACAGATCCAAAATTACCCGAACGCATGTGATATGAGCAGGCTGAATCTAATACATAAGAGTCATATAATCTGTCAAAGTTACATACATATACTGATAACATGTCCTCGTCTTTTAAATTCAATTCTCATTTTGTAACACTAGCCGAGTTTGAGGACTCATCACCTTTCTTTTTATCACATGCTTCTTATTCGAAGGTCCTTCTTAAGGTGGCCCATCTGATGACACTTGGAACACTTAACATTTTTCTTGTTCCTAATCCTGGACTTCGATCTTGAATTTCCTTTATGAGAACCACTACAATCCTTCCTTCTCCAACGATCCTGATGGCCCTCGCTATCAACCCTTTACCATGTGAACTTTCGTTAGTACACAATTTTCACTGGTTGTAGGCCAACAGAGTTGATGTGACTTCATCTAATTCGAGAGTCTCTTTTCCCCACGCTACGTGGTCACCAGTGGTCATGCGAAGGAGGGAGATAGCATAACAACATCATTGCTTTGTCTTCATCATCGAACTCGTTGTCAAGCCAGAATAGGTCGCTGATAATCTAATTGAACATGTTGGTGTGTAGAATCAGATCTGTACCATGTGGCATCTTGAGTCCTAAAGCCCCTGCTTTAGTTATAGCTTGTTCATGAAAGACTTCGACATATAGAAACTCTCCCATTTTAGTGAAACCTCCGCCAAAAACTCGAGGTCCATGATGCGATACATGATCTCATCAGCCAAATAGAGCCGAATTGTACCCACTGCTCTCACCTAGGGCTTTTCCCAATCGGTAAATAACAAGTAGAACATGCAATTTACCTCATCTATTCCTTTGATTTTGTTCTCTCTCCATCTAAACAGCTCGTTGGTGTGCGCTAGATAGAGACCAGGACAAAAAGATTCCATGTTTCTATAATGGACATATAGACCACCAATGCCCATAAACTAATCCTCAAACTCATCAATGTCATTAGAGCAAATAGTTGAAAAAATTATGTGGAATATTCATCGATAATCCGATTTCCTTGCCTTAAGCTTTGTAAGCGCTCATAAATCTTCATGCGTACTTATACAACAATAAAACATCTTTGAGGCATTTTTTGAACTTTGCCATGAGGTTACTTTTTTTCCCATGACGATCTCGATTCATTTTGAATAAATCATCTGATATCTAATTGTAGTATAAAATCTCCTGGATTGGTATCCAAGAATTCATTCACATCTATACCACCATGAAATTCGAG